TACCCAGCCAGGGCCTCACTGCTAGCTGCCCCACCAGTGGATTTGGTGTTGGGTGGGGAAATAAGCTGGAGAGCCTGTTCCCTGCCCAGCTTCGTGATCACAGAGCAGGGCAGGGAACTAGTACCCCAACCCCTGCCAGCAGGGAGCTCCCCCCTCTTCCTGTTTCACAATTGGGAAGCTGGAGCTGGGAGATCCTTATCTCCCAGCACCAGCTCTGTGGTCACAACTTATTTAAAGTGACATTATTATATGCTATAGCACCACTTGCATGAAATTAATATAGTTAAAGGATTTAACAGTTAGTTCAACCTGGGCAAGAAATGTAATTAAAACAGAAGTCTAAAAGTCCCCTTTGTGAAGGAATATGAGTACTTCTGAAGTTAATCACAGAAGAAATCATCTTAGCAGTGATGAAGAGTAGGGAGGGATGAATGATTCTGTGAATTAATGTAAATCAGAGTCTCATAGCTGGCTTCATGTTTTTCAAATGGAAATGAGGCTTTTTATATCAACCTAATTTGAATTCCAGAAGCAAAATATTTGCTCTTTCTTTGAAAGAATTACTGAAATGAATGACAAAGACAGGGCAACTTTACAAGCTGCAAGAAAAACAGAAGTTTTGGATGGGGTATGCAGGGAAGGGTCATGTTACCTGTATCATGATAAAGGTTTGTTTTTCTAATATTCTTGGGCTTTGATTTCAGAGGTACTGGATATCAACACAAAAACCAGTACTGCCCTCTTCTCGAAATAAGGATTTAGGAATCTCTGGTATCTTAACTGATTAGAAATACACAGTTTATATTTTAATGTAGTTGCATCAGCAGCCAATTAGCAACATAAAACAGTCAATTTGAAAACCAATAATAAAAAGGCCATTTACAAGATTGCATTTAATGAACTCAATACCAGATAAACTGCCACTGAGACTGCTGTCAGGGTCTTAAACACTAGCAATATTTTATTATTAAAATTAGCCAAAGAGGAAAGAAAATACTAAAAATAATTAATCCAAGGAAGAGTTTTTTGAAATGTTGATTCATGGTAGTTCTGTAAGTCAAGCAAGTAGAAGATATGAACTATTAATACCTTATTTACTCAGATACAAGATGACCCTAAATATTAAAAAAACTACAATAATTAGATTCTATATCTGGAAAATGTATAAATTTGTTATACTTTGCCATATATAGAATCTAATTACTGGAGGTTTGCCTTGATTTTTTCCCCTTCCCACTCCTACAACAGGGAAAATAAATCTGGAGGGTCAGGTAGCCCCTTTGCCCTCTGCTTGCCCTCCCAACTTCTTTTCCCTGCAGCCCCTTCCCCCGCTCCTTACTGTCAGACTCTGCTCTCCCTGAACACACGGAAGTGAGAAGCAAATTTGAAAACACTGACATAGAAATAAACATACCTGTAGTAACTTGCATATATGGAAATGATTACAGGTACCCATAGCCTTAGGTCATCCAGAATTAATACATGTTGCCTCTTTTGAAACTGCTGCAAGTTTTAGCACAGGTACTCTATAAACACACTTTAAAGCAGCACTTCTATTTATATACAGTACAAACTTGTTCTTTTTTAATTTTGTGTGTCAGGCCAAATTAGCCAAATCAGTTCCAAATTCTATTGACTGAGCAGAGCTCAATCATTCAAGTCTGTGTGGTGCTACCACCAGCAAGTATCCTCCCTCCCAGACTCTTCAGCCTGGGGCATCAGAGACCCCCAAATCCATGGCAGGCATCCTATGTGCAGGCCCAAAGCCCAGAGGCTTTGGAGTTCGGTGCCCCCAAGTCATGCTTATTCTTAGCCAAAAGGCCAAAGGAGCAAGCTAGGGAGAAATCCCCCATCCCCATAAAAAAGAAGCGTGTAGCCGAGTTCTTCCCCTTGGGAAGCTATAGTAGACTCTCGTGGGAGGGGGCCCACCCACAGTGCATTGGACAAGTCTCCACCCTTAGCTACACAATGCCATTCACTGGGTATTAGAATAAAAAAAAGTTGAGTTATGCATGATATTAGTCCAAAGCCAAAAGGCTCATACTTTACCATATACTTCACTGGGCTGGGCCCCAACAGAGACAACAGTATTTCCAAGCCATGATAACCCCAAAGCGCAGCACTGGTCACTATGTAAGTGTACTCCAGATACCCCCACAAATGATCCAGGTGCTAATTAGTCCCCACTCATGACTGGAACCTGGTATTCTTATCACGAGTCCTGGGATCCTAAATTTAGGTGCAGATGAGACACGGGGCAACCTGATCTGGCTCCAACTCACAAAGAATGGGGCCACACTAATCGTATGTGACAGGCTGAGAGAGGGGGGTGACAGAAAGATTCTGGGTAAGCTCTTTGGGGACCCATTCAGTGATGTTTGCAGACATTTAAGGCTGGTTAACAAACAGGGTTCATTGTTAACAGGAAAGAAGGGTGCAGCTCACCTTTTGGAGTGAAGAAGAAGTTGCAATGTATTCAGTGTAGAGGCTCACCATGACTTGAAAGAGTTGGGGCTGAGCAGGACTGAGCACAATGGGCACTATCATATATCTTATTCAGGTGAGCTGCACTAACCTATCCTTATGGGAGTTTCCATCAGCATTTTTGGGATCATGGGGAGCCTGACAAAGCTGTCTGTCTGGCTCCCAGCCTCATTACTACACTGGAGCCTTGAACCAGCAAATATCTGGTACAGAGATGGAAGGAGGATGGAAGCCCTGAAAAGCTGTTTGTCAGGGTCTCACCCCTCCACATACCTGAGCCTCACTGTTTCAAGGCTTGGTGTCTACAGAGGTCAGGAGCCCAACAAACAGCTTTGTCAGGCTCCCACCTAGCCCCCACTGCACCAGAGCCTTGATGGTTCAAGGCTCTGGTGCAGTGTGGGGGCTGAGAACAGTTTCCATGCTGTGCCAGTGTCACTCCCAGCCCCTTCACTGCATCAGAGCCTTGAACTGGCTCCCATGCAGTGCAGGGGCTGGGTGCTCCTAGTCCCTACACCACATACGAAGCCTCAAATTGGCTTCCGTGCAATCCCAAGGCTGAGACTCAAGAATCAACTGATTTTCAGGTCTCAGCCCCAGGACAGCACCTGGAGCCTTGAACCAGCTCCTGCTCATGACAGGAGCCAGGAACAGCTCCCATGCCATGCTGGTGTCACTCCTGGTCCCCGCATCACACAAGAACCTTGAACTGACAAGACTCCCATGTGAGGGAGGCCAGATGGGAGCCCAAAGCTGTTTACTGGCCTCCCTTTACTAGTTCAAGGCTTAGTGAGGTAAGGAGGTTGGAAGCTGACAAACAGCTTTATGGTCCTCCACCCCTGCCACAAAGAAGCCTTGGGGCCTCAAGGCTGAGACCCAAAAATCAGCTGATTTTCAGGTCTCAGTCCTGGGGCCAGGAGCTGGTTCAAGACTCCAGGGTACTATGATCTATATTTAGACCATTGCAGCATTAACTTGTGATTATTCAGAAAACTTTCTAAGTCCTATTAATTCTTGCTATGATCTAAATATAAAACCTGCTAAGGGCAATGTGTAACTAAACCAAAATTTACTTTGGGTCACACTCCCATTATAATCAGTCACTTCAGAGAAAATTAAACCTATCTGGTTCATTTAAACCTAGTTGCATACTACAATGAAAATGACAAGGAAAATATTCTGAAATAAAATTGTGTAAAGACAAGAAGGCAACTTAATAAAGTCTCTTAAAAATGAAGGTTTGGGTACATTAATTCCACAGACTGCCACCAAAACAGGTGGTTTAAAACTTATTTATACTGGCATTAAGCTTGAATACCCCAGAAATTTCAATATTTTAGATTACATGTGTTTTTATATTCTTAAAATACAGCAACCCTTTGTAGCCATGATCAAATTTAAATTCACATAGCATGACAAATCTTGAGAAGTCAATTCTCAGACAGAAACCTTCTCTTTAAACATTTGTATGAACAATTCTGACACATCTTTTTGGCCATGCTCCTAATTCATTGTAATAGGACTACATTCTTAATCTGCAGCTCTTCTGCTCTCTAACAAGCATCAGATCTTAGTTTGCAGAGTGCTTTTTAATTTTATAGCAAAAAAATATATAGATGCTATTTTTAAATGACCAAGAATTGCATTTATAACCTTTTCAATATAAAATTATATACATGCAAAAGGAATTAATTTTAAAAGAGTTCAACTCATTTCAATGTAGATTAAATGGCAATAGTTTATTAGAATGAATCAGGTATGGTACTTTCTTACATCCTAATCCTGCAATTCTACTTAGACAGGTAAAGTCTACATCCCAGTACAGCCCCATGGAACTCAATGGCCAGGTACAGACATTACACTTTTACAGGTATGAATGATCAAAAACTGGTCTATACCCGTAACAGAACAGAAGTTCAACACACATGGACTGGTCTAAAAATGGCAGAATTTGGTCTAAAAACTTGCCACCCCCACCAAAGGGTGAACGTGTGTTCTCTTCATTATCAATCTAAACTATGTCACTTACAGAAAACCAGTAACTTAAGTCAATTCTACCTTAGGTTTTTTGAATGCCTGTACCTAGTCAAAGAGGCTCTGTGAAAGTGGATACCATCACAGGACTGATGATCATGTGCTAAAAAAGAATATGGAGAGATCATCTAAATATGTCTCTCAATTTATTGAAGCAGCATAGGAAGTAAATGACATTTTGAAAAGCAGAGTGACAAGGTAACAACAGCCAAGTCCACTCAAATCCAGAACCCTACAAATTACTGTGTAAGAACTTCACCCAACATTTTTACTTTTGTTACAAGTGCAGCATTTACATCTCTAGGACACCAATTCAGCAAAGTGCCGTTTTTGTTTCATCACCTTTAAACACATGATTTAATCCTATTTAAGTCTTTTTAAGCAAAACATTTAAGCATGTACTTCCTTTAATTGCATATATAAATCTCACTGAAGTCAACCTGAAAGTTAAGCATATGTGTTACTGAATAAACATGGACTCCTACCTTTATAAAGCAGCAGGAAGAGGTCTTCTACACCTAAATGTGAACAGGGGTTGAAAAACATGGTTGGGGTGGTATGAAGTGTTTGCTCCTGTGGGTGATAGATAGGGAAGCAGGAGCAGCTGTGGTGTAGTGGAGTTTTCAAGTTTTAGGGTGTCACTGGGGAAGTCTATTGTGGGTTGCTTGTCTTACTGTAAGCCACCCTGAGTCTTTTTGTATAGGATGAAATATAAATCTAAATTGATGATGATATCAAAGGAGACAGATGTTCTAATGGTGCATCACTGAGGTAACCAAGAGTCATACGTTCTCCACACCACTGGGAAGTAGCAGACCAATTTATGAATTGCAACTCTGGATAACATTAACCACATTTGTGGATATTTTAATCATTTCAGCCGGTGGGGGGGGGAGAACACTTATATGCTTTATGGGAGAATAAAAATATCCTCCAAAGGTATTGATGAAGACTTAGGGGATATGAGCAAACAGCATTACAAATATGCTTATAAATGACATTTACCTGTTTCAACATCTGTTAAGTGAAGCATAAAATCAAAACCTCCACTGAGAATTCTTCTTCCACATAAAGACCATTGAGCAGCTCGAACAGCACAAGAGTGACAGGAATAAGTTTTTAAACAGCGGCCTGTATCGACAGCGTCCCATATCTTAAGAAGAAACAGAATAACATTTCTTAAATATTAAGAACTACAGTAATTAAATTATTAAATATGCTGAAAAAGAATTAGAATAAATTAATTGACTTAGCTGAGAAAGCTTTAACTAGCAAATTCATCTCTCTGAAGCTAAAAGTATGGGTTTCAAGTAATAATAAATTCCCTTAAGTTAGAAAATGAAAATGTTTTCTTAACTAGCGAGAAAATCAAGACAATAAGTTTATATATGGTATGTATAAATTGCTGGAAAAGCAGAAACTGTTCTAAATGGCAGATCATGTCAAATTCCCCAAAGTAATTTCTGTACTGCCTCCCCCAACAACCCTGGCAGACAAGTTTGAGATCTTCTGTCTATGTAGGATATATCTAATCCCTTAGTCTTGCAATCTGTGACTTCAAATAGAATGCTGCAACTGCCATCAAAATGTACTTAATACGAAGGATATTACTGATCCTTGATTATCCAAACTCCTTTGAAAAGCACCTGCTGAGAAGTCCTTTGCGTAACTGAAACAGTTGCAAGCTATTGTATGGAACTGAAGAGCAAACAGAGCACAGTACTAAACACTGCTTAAAAAGAACAGTATGAAAAATTGGTTTGGGTTAGTTACAGCAGGGTTATCCAGCCTTTTTTGTTTTGTTTTGTTTTTAAGTCAAATCAGCCAAATCAATTCCAAATCTGTGCGAAACATTCAAGAACCATACCTGGCCCTGCTACCGGAAAGCATCCTCCACCCCCACCTGGGGCTTCAGAAACTTCCAAATCCTTTGGTGGGTATCCAACGTGCAGGTCCAAGCCCGGAGGCCTGGGGTTTGGATGCCCCTGATTTTTGCTTGCCCTCAGCCGTATGGCCGCAGGAGCAAGCTGGAGGGGGGTGTCTGCCATTTCCATAAAGTCAACATGTAGCCACGTCCAACTTCTGGGCGTCTGGGAGCCACAGGACCCCCAGCTACACGCCCTGCAGGCTGCATGCCATGCCATGTGAACAACCCCCCTGACCCCACCAAAGGATCATACAAGTCCCCACAACCCACCTGCGCCACAGGCCTCTACCAGCACAGGGTAACAGCATCCTGGAAGCATCCAGGATGCTATGGAAGCATACTGCACAAACAGACGTACTGTGCCGCGCTGCACAGCACCCCCTTGCTACATGCCACCCTCAGTCCCCACTGCAGGAGGCAACTTCAACTGCACTGCACCAGCACAAATGCTATGCAGATCCCCAGATCTCCCCAAGCCTATGACTACAGGCTCCCGCATCCCCGCAAGCTACACTGCTCTGCCCCAACCCCAGGGGTAGGTACAGGCAATGGAAGCTGGAGGAAGGCAGGGAAGCCTGGAGGTTTGGCAGCATCAGCAAAACCAAAGCGGGGAGCATTGCAGATAACCAAGGGTTTGGATAGCCAAGACTCAATTGACAGAGGCAAAACTATATAATACAGACAGAAGTGGGATTTTTCTAAAGCCAAAAGAATATGCAGACCTAGGCCACTACTAAGAACACTTGAAAAGCCCACCCTTACTTATTATCTTAACCTTGTAAGTCAACAGGACAAGGAGTAGAGCATTCAAGATGAAGTCTTCAATGTTTCTAGAATGTCTTAGACTAAGACATATTATAAAAATAAAACCAATTATTTTATAAAAGTAAAGGTAACTGTTAGCAGAATCAATAGAAGCATTGTAAGGTATTCTTAGCAAATGGATATAACCCAAATCATAATTAAAAAGGTTATCAAATATGCAGCTCACCTCATTGATCAAAAACACAGGCTCTATTGAAGTGCTTTTTCACCATACATTTCAACAACAGAAATTTCTGAACAAATTATATGAGAAAGTAATATCTAGCATGTTCATTTTTTTTAGATAGGAGGTTGGCCAATTACTAGTATTCATTTTTCATTAATATCCTACTTCAATAAGTACTGGATTACAAAAGAACTGATGACTGCATGATTTATTACTATCTCTGCTGTTTGAGCTTAACCAAACAATATTTCTGCCAAATTCTACAGTTGACAGGTCAGCGAACCCCAGTATTTTCACTGCCAGAGATAGCAGTGCAACTAAATCAATGTTTTAATTATTACTATTGACAGTTTTATTGTATGTGCAGTTAGAAATTTTTAAACTACTAAAACATACTAAAGAAATCCTAAAAACTCTTGGTAATTAGTTAATGATACCTAAATCTTTATCATATGAAATCTTGCTATATGCTTCAAACAAAGGCTGCTTTGCGAGCCCACCAAGGGCTCTTCTGCCCTAAAAAAAAAGTGCTCATTTTCTAAGCCTGGATTAATATTAGTATTGTTGTTGCTGCTACTGTTACTATGCCCGAAGCGTGCTAAACAAATTATAACATAAAAAAGATCGTTCTCATCTCAAAGGCCTTACAATACATAAGACTGTAGGCCCACAATCTTCCATTGTGTACAACTAGGAAGCTCCAATGAAGTCAGTTATTAATTATAAAATATAATTGTTACATAAAAAATGCAGTGTAAAAAAAATTCAACAGATGTCAAAGCTTGATTGAATATTTATGTCCTTGAAGTAGCATCACAGATTTCTCAGAACAGTAAGATTATCTGAAAGGGAACAGGGGAAGTAAAAAACCTCTTAATTCTTGTTCTTTCTTTTGCTAGACTGAAAAGTGTTACTGCCATGGAAGGACTTGCTGACATTTCTACCTGTATATTGCAGACAACATGTCTTAGGAGACTGTTTAAAGTAACTGCTAATCATGTATAGACTAAATTTCTGCTCTGTAAAGCAACCAATTATTGTTAATTACTTGAGTGGTCAGTTAAGTTAAACACCCTAACAAATGTATCCTAAGTACCCTAACTATAAGCAAGGAAAATCAGAGAGAATAATATTAAGGAGCTTTTGGAATTAAGTTTCTACCTTGTTTAATGACTTTCATGATTATTTCCAGTTTCATTCTAACAACAAAAAAAACCCCAGGAAGGTTAATTACATCCAGGAGGGTTTTTCATATGAGAAAGCTATTGAATGAATCATGAAAAAGTAGCTGATAAATGCTTCAGAAAGTTTTCTTACATTTTAGTGATTAAACATGAAAATACATTTCAACAAGAAGGGAAAGTAAAACAAGTTCAAAATCATTTAATAGCACTGGCTTAGACAGAAAATCAGTGCAAGAGAAAGAAGTGAAACACGCATGTATGTCTGCATTCATTCTGTAGAAAGGAAAAACCATTTTTCACATCTGGATGATGCTATTAAAGTAAAAAGGAAAAGTCACTACAAAATGGCACTGTATTAACCTCTACCTCCTGGCTTCTATCAGGTCATCTCACGCAAACAGCCTTCTCCATCACAGCAGTGAGGGATAGGGGAACAGGGAAGAATTTAAAATAATCCTTGATAACAGGGGACCCTAACACTGGTACTCTGCTGGATAGGGAAAGACAAACAGAGAAACAGGGACTGGAGCAGTCAGTCTGAAAGAGAAGGACCCACGTCAGGAAGCCAGGGTCCTACCACTTTGAGAGAATGGAGCAGCAGGCACAGAGGCTGCCCTTTAATTAACAGATGAGAAACTCCTGAGCAGGGTGAGACAAGGCAAGCCGTCGGCAGGGGGAAAGGGCTCTCGGGCACATAAGCCCTGCCTGAAGCTGGAAATTAGGGGGAGAGCGAGAGAAAGTGAGGGCAAGAGGCTGAGCCAATGGTGAGAGAAGGTGCTCTCTGGGGAAGTGCAAAGACTCAGTAGCTCTTGTGTTATAGGCACCAGGAACATCCATGGCCCAGGACAAATTATGCTGAGGGGAAACCAGCAGGGGTTCGTGGCAGGCAGATCGTGCCTGACCAATCTAGTCTCTTTTTATGACCAGGTTACGAAACGCCTGGACACACGAGGACGGGTGGATGTCGTATACTTAGACTTCAGGAAGGCCTTCAATATGGTATCCCACCCCATACTGGTGAACAAGTTAAGAGGCTGTGACTTGGATGACTACACAGTCTGGTGGGTGGCGAATTGGCTGGAGGGTAGCACCCAGAGAGTCGTGGTGGATGGGTCGGCTTCGACCTCGAAGGGCTCGGTCCTTGGACCGATACTCTTTAATGTCTTCATCAGCAACTTGGACGAGGGAGTGAAATGTACTCTGTCCAAGTTTGCAGATGACACAAAGCTATGGGGAGAAGTGGACATGCCGGAGGGCAGGGAACAGCTGCAAGCAGACCTGGACAGGTTAGACAAGTGGGCAGAAAACAACAGAATGCAGTTCAACAAGGAGAAATGCAAAGTGCTGCACCTAGGGAGGAAAAATGTCCAGCACACCTACAGCCTAGGGAATGACCTTCTGGGTGGAATGGAAGTGGAAAGGGATCTTGGAGTCCTAGTGGACTCCAAGATGAACATGAGTCGGAGTGTGACGAAGCCATCAGAAAAGCCAATGGCACTTTATCGTGCATCAGCAGATGCATGACAAATAGATCCAAAGAGGTGATACTTCCCCTCTAT